TGTCTACCCTTCTTTACATACCCTTCTCAATTAGTGCCCTTTTTTTGATCCTGGTATATTTCAGACGTTTCTTAAGATGTATTATTTCTAAATTTTGATGTTTTTTATGTCAGTACTCTAGCTCGATGAATCTAGCGAATTTCACTTTGAGGGTTTCCAAGTTTGGTACTAAAGTTAAAAAATCTTTTGTTCCATTTCCTGTATTATAACCGCTTGTGGCTCCATTGTAGTAATGGATGCAGCATAAATCCTTTTCTCCTAATTTGTTTCCTGTTTTTATATGCATTATATTGTATTGTAGGATCATGCGTATGTTGTATTAATTAATGAAGTAGTTCACGCTTCGTTTTTAGCTCAGAATGCTGCTGAAATTTCGGCTGAGGGCGTCCTCGAAGCGCCCGTGTCCACGGCACGCAGACTTAAGTGTAAGTTGTGTAGCGTTGCGTTCACAGATCGCTTGGAATGGGCGCAACACATACGTCAGGATCATGATGGCAGTCCTCCTCCGCAAACGACATCGAGGAGGAGGACTGTGGATGACGACGATGTTATCATTAAAAAAGCCAGTAAACGGTGGACGACAAACCTTAGAGGGATTCGGTACGAAAACTTGGACGATGAATCACGGGCAAAAATGGTGCAATGTCCAGAATGCAAGTTGTTCTATAGTGACAATCGTGGACTGGGTGCGCACATGTACCACAAGCATTCAGGCGACAGGGCCTTGCGAAAGGCAGCATTTTCGACACCCGGACGTAAACCGAAGAAGTTGGCTCGGTATCATGATGGCATAGAAGAAACTTCACCAGTACAGCATCCGCTACTTGAGTCTCAAGTGTTGTATGAACCGACGGCGACCATGGTGAACATTGTTGATGGTGATAACGAACTGCCATCGCTGACCAAACAAGGACCGCAACTACCGACGGGTGTGGAACAACAGGCCACGACCGTCAGTGCTGTCGCTACTCCTACGTCTGTTGAAGATATGGAAGCAGAGGAGCCAGAGATCGAACCAGAGCCGGAACTTGAGGACGAACTGGATGCTGAAGAATCAGTATCTGAAGTGGAGAACTATCCTTGCAAGTACTGTGCAGATCGTGTGTTCCTAACCTCCTACGGTTTGGAGCGTCATACGAAGCTCAGCCACCCGAAGTGCGTGTATTCGGTCATGCAGGACATCGAGCGATTGCAAAGCTTCGCAACGCCATCTGACGAATTTGCGGATGGAATGTCCATCACCCCGATGGTACCAGGTCCGCCCAAACGAGGACGGCGACCTGGTGCTGGTAGACGGCCCAAAGCGACAGCACATTTCAATGCACGCAGCAGCGGCTTCACACCTCCTCCAGACCTGAGCGACAGCATGGGTGACTTCAGCACTGACCCGACATGCACCAGGCCAGAATTGGAGCCATTCATGGAGATCCCGCAACCGGACGACTTGGATTTCCATCACGAAATCAAAGATGCTAAAACCGTCACTGTTATGCCACGCACGGTCATGCCATCATCGACCGAAACAACGTTAACCAGTGATTCAACGTCCACCGCTGCTCCTCTTTCGCTGGAAAATGACCGCGACGTCTTTCGGGTAATTATGTTAATTTTTCTTCAAAATAAATAGATTCATACATGTTTGACGGCCATGTTTGAAATAAGAAGCCTTTTATATGAGGTCTTTTGATTTTTTGATTCTTGACCAAAAGAGTGTCATCGATAAGATTTCTTTATTTGAACCGACTTATTAGGACAGACTGAGCAGAAACAGCAAATAATTCATCAACAAATGGAAATATTTTTATTACCTACATGGACACATTGCAGTAAACAAAAATTAAAACGAATCAACAGGGATCAGTTAAGTCAACAGTGTATTTAACTTGATGCCTTAAGAATTATAAGTGACTCATTTCTGTTTTGTTCGGCAGAGATATGCTAAAGTTCTTTGGTTAATAATTAAATTCTGTCTTTATCAGTACAAACATTAATTGTATAAAATTTATCGCTATGCTATAAAGCATTGCTCACATTGATTTAATGCATGCTCAATTGGTAGTTCGTGATGGCTCTCGATCGTTCCGCTGCCTTTGCCTTTGGAGTCGTGACAGTTTTTCCATCTGATACATATGGCATTACACGAATTACTGTTTATTTAAATGCTATATTTTTAACCTCTTCCGAAGGTTTTGACTTACGGTAGTATATTTTTTCAGAGAAAGAGTTTAAAGTTTATTACTCGCTATGTAAAAAAGACATCAAATTGATTATTTTTTATGAAATGTTTCCTGTGATACACCCTGGATAAATGGAATCGAAGGTTATAGATCTTTTGATTCAAGCCATGGAATGAGAACGCCTGCCATCATCAGGTCATCAACGGCACCGTATTGGTATGAGCCTTAGAAATTATAAACGAAATCGTTATAGGAGATCTGCGTTATATCTTGTTGGAGTGGCCATACTTGAGATATGTAATAACATTTCGGTATGATTGTTTTTATGCCATTTTTATTGAATGTCACTGGCAAGTGCATAATTTTATCCTTAACAAATTTGACATTGCATATCTGATTATGGCAGCAGCGCACAATAGTGTTGTTCGTTCGTCGATTCATTTTTGAGAACTCCAAGCAGCGCAAGTGTTAACACTACTGCGAACGCGTTTTGCTGGGCAAGTCGATTATCAGGCAGCTAGCCGCCATATATACAAAGTGGGTGAACTTTAATCTAGTTGGATTAATGAAGTTGGGGTGCCGTCGGTAACTTGATAACAAGGTTTGGAATGTCGTGATGCGCCCTTGAGAGTAGGGACGAAAATCTGAAGCTATGAACATGCTTATTGAAGTCTGGTGTTATTCTGCCACTTGTTTTGATTATCTTGAATGGTTGCTGGCACAAGAAACAGACCAACTATAGTCTACTATTTGCCCTGCAGTTTGGATGAAATGTTTGCAGGTATGATCTAAGTACTACCAGTTGTCTGTTCCTTGTGTCTAGAATCATCTTCATCTTCATCTTCCATCGCCGCTTCTCCTTTCGGGTCGCGGAGGCAGACGCGTCAGACA